GTTCTACATCAAATCAACTGAGCTAATGGAGAGAGGTATTTATAAGTCTTCCGCTGTAACTCCTTTGAGTATCACATACATATATGTATATAATCTGGATTGTTTGAATAATATATGTATATATGTTGTTTATCTAACACTTCCATCTTATCGCGTACCAGCTAATTGATGAATGTTATTAATCTCAGTCTTTTCAGTTCAGTAGAAGTATCAGTTTGATTGGTTAGTTATGCTGAAATTGTATGAAAGTTATGTAGTGGACTTATTTTATAATGTCAGGTTTCGTTCCATTTTTCCAAATAAGTTTTCTAAATTGATCACCATTTTTTAACGGAGACTTGATGAAAGTTTTAACCTCACCAGTCTCCCAACCCTTAACGTTTTCTTTGGTCAAGTGGAAAATTTTTTAAATAAATGAAAAGAGGAATCGGGGTTTTCTTTTTTTTTGGGGGGGGTGAAATTACATTTATTTTAGTTATAGTATTAGGTAGGATAGAAATCAATTAAAAACAAAAAACAAATAGAGCTGGAATGTCCTGAATATTCTTGCTTAGAAAATAACATATTAAACAAAAAGTTGGGAAGAGTAATAATAGACAATTTCGACACTTCCCGTTCATTTCTACAGAGAACAGTATTTTTCATAGGTCTTACGATAGAAAAAGATTGTTGTAGGATACACTTTCCATTCTACCAAACTATTCGTTAGTCATACTCCAACTTGCTTTTCCTTTGCTTTTTTAATTTTCCCTTTCAAATCAGAGGGCTTATTTGCATTTGCTTATTTTAAATACTTTAAGTATTTTTATGTAATTTGAGATAAAGCTCACTTTACATACTTATATCGTAATAATAAAATCATGATTAAAAATTTACTTATAAATCATTTCGAGCATAATAAAAAGGTACTGGGATGGGCTCTTTATGTTACATATAGACAGAAAACAAAATATCAAAGCTGACATTCTCAGTAACTCAGTCCTTATAGTTGGCAAGTATCTTTAACTCATCCCCTAGGTAGGGGAGGAGGGGAGGGTGTCGGAGGCTGAAACTTGCAAGGAGGGAGGAGAGAAGTAGCTTGGACCAGCGAGCAGCAGTATCATCGCGATGTCGAAGCGAGAGCAAGAACGAAGGAAGAAGATCAGGGGCCACATGGGAATTTTCTGTGTAGGAAAATCAGATCCCAATTCCCACCTATATGTGAGGGAACAGATTTTCCATTAAACGTGGAAAAATTTCCTGCCGCCAGAATTTGCTCTACCGGAAAGTGGTGCAACCAAAGGGATATTGTGAAGGAAAATTATCCCATTCTCCGTTTCCATCAGTATATTTTCAGGCTACCAAACAGGCTCTAAGGACTATAGGATTAATTTTCCGGTACATAAAAGAGCAATGGGGCCTAAGTTTTAAAACACTAGCTAGGGCCTAGGGGGCTTGTTTAAATTCGCTTTCCTAATTTTAAAAGTCCTTACCAGTCATTTTAAAAGCATGAAAGTCAATTTGAGCTCAAAAATTGTATGCGGAATGGCATTTGAGTTAAACGAGTTTTTTCCCCTTCAAAAAGTCAAAGTAGACCTAAAGTCATATTTTGGAACTTTCAGCTTCATCAAGCCAAACAGATATTCAAATTGAGACTTGTTTTTAATATAAAAAGTATGATTATATTAATTGACTTTTATCACAATTTTAATTTACAAAATCCAGTTGGGATGATAAAAACCGATGTTGATAAAAACAACCCTTAATTATAATTCAGTTTCAAAATATTTTGAAAATTTCCGTAATCCTGAAGTCTATATTTCATTTGTTGACAACTAGGCATGACAAAATAATGAATGCTCATCATATGAAAATTTACAAGTTCAAATTTACATTCTAACATATTCATGGTAACAATTATATATTTTTTTTCAAAAAAAATCAAGAAACATTAAGAATCAAGAAATATCTTAATTGGACGTAGATGTTTGTTGTGTTTCGATCACAATTATGCGTCATTCTACTTAATTTTAATTTGCGTCCATTTTGAATGTCAGAAAAACCAATTTCCATCCATTTTAAAATAACCAACATTAACTTTATCCACACAAAAATGTCCAACATTAATTCATCCTCCTATCTATGATGCAAAATAATCTAAACTTAACTTCTACATAAATAAATTATATTACATTTTTTAAAATAAGATATTTCAACGTTAAAATTGTCAATAACCTAATTGAATATCAAAAAATACTCAAGTCAAAAACTTTAATAAAACAACTTCAAATAAACGGAGTCATTCGCGCGCGCGCAATCCAATCCTCGTTATCTAGGATAACAATGTATAACAAATTAAATGAGCGTTTTTTTTTTTTTGACAATAATGAGCATTTTATTTTGAATATATATAATTGTTATCATGAATATATAAAAAAATTACAATGAAATTTGGGCATTTTATAATGTAAATTTGGACTTAAATTTTTATTTGATACTTGTTATTTTTGTTATGCTCCTCCGATTCTTAATATAAGATCCAATTGTTGAGTTGATTTTGATTCTAAATATAAGACCCGGTTCTTATATTTATCAATTTTTCTAAATTACCCCTATGGATACTTTCTCAACCATAATCAAATAGAAGAAGGAGATGGGGTATTAAGAAAGATGATTATGGTGTTTTAGGAAAAACGTGTCACATTTCTTATAATTAACTAACTTACATAACTTTCTTAATCTAATCAAATTAGTTAAATGAGTCTTATATTAAAAACCGGAAGAGTACTTAGTTATGAAAATATGTATAACTGACCTAGGAACACTCGTTATTTCCCTATCAGAATCTATTAGCATGTAACTTGAATTTGCGTATATTTTTGGTTGTCAAAATGTATATGTGCTTGTAAACGGATTTTAAATTTTCTTTAGGACTTGCTTTTTATTTCAACATTCAGACTTATTTTTATCAACTTTTCTCCCAACTTAATCCCCCCCCCCCCTCATTTTAAGCAAAAACTATGAGTTCAAAGCTTAAAATTTCTTAATTCTCATTGCACTGGAATTTAAATGAAAATATGAAATTCTCCCATTTTTTAAATTCAATAGATGGTCAAAATTGCCGCTAATATTCTAATCCAGCTTGAATCGCACGTGGACGCCCTTATTTTGTGTTCTTTCGGTAGAACACACCTTCAAATTTTCGGGCGGTGCTGTGTCCCTTAGATTTTTGTTATTAGATTTTATATAAAATAAGTAAAATTTTAATATCGCAAAAAATTATTCAGTTTTCAATTTTTTACGGTTTTTTAAAAATTTAGTATTCTCAAATATTTAAAAAATCATAAAAAATTAAAACTGAATTTTGTTTATAAGATATTAAAATTTAACTTATTTTACATAGAGCTTAATAATAAAAAAAATGAAAAAAAATTTAGGAAGCACCCAAAAGTAAGCGGCGGAGTGGGTACATGACACCCGAGATCCCAAATTTTCACATCTTCATCCACAACCTAAGGGTGTGTTTGGTATGAGGAATTTGGGAAAGAGGAAAGGAAAGGGGAAGGATTTTAATCATTTCCTCTTGTTTGGCAGCACACAAATTTTAGGAGGGGAGGAGAAATTTTTCTCCCCTCCAAAATTAAGAGGATTTGAAAAGAAAGAGTAATATTTTGTCATGTTGTGACCATTATACCTATATTTTGTCATTTTGTGACTATTATGTCCATATTTTGTCATGTTGTGATCATTATGCCTATATCTTAAATAAAATAAGAGCAAAATTGTTTATATTAAAATATTTTTTCCTCCCCTACCCTTTTGTTTTTTATAAATCCAAACAAGATAATATTAAAATCCTTCCACTCTCCTCCCTTCCCTTTTCCTCCATTAAAATCCCTCCTCTCTCTTTCCTCTCATTGAGCCAAACATACTCTAAGGATGTATTTGATTGGAAGGAAGGGTGGAGGGGAGGGAAAATGACCCCCTCCCCTTATTTGGACGAAAATTGGAAGGAAAGAAGAGTCAAAATTTTTCCTCCCCTCCCCTCATTTACCCTCATTTGGGTCCCCTTAAATTAGGGTTTTTTTTTTTAGGAAAGTAAAAAATTTTCTGACTATTTTATCCTTATATATTTGTGATATTCCCAGCTTGGTTGGCGGTGTACTCCTTCCTTTCTTCTTCTTTCTTGTCTTCCTGAGCGCCACGGCCAACGAAAATGATAAGTAGGTTGGGAGTCTCTTTTTTGGCTTGGCATTAGTCAGCAGCGGCAAGCTGATTTTGGAGTTGGACGAGAAGGTGCTAGGAGATAGAGAAGGGGATAGTGGTGGCGGTGGAAGAAGGGGAGGAAAGAGATGAAGAAGAGTTGAAGGTGATGGTTTTGGGGAGGAGAGAGTGGAAGAGGAATAGCAGCCATTCATATTGTCTTCTTCCAGTTCTAATATTTCTATGTATCTTTGCGGTTTGATTTTTTTTCAAACGTATTAGTTTTATTAATTAGATTGTATATTAAAGCTAGAACAGAATGGGCAGAAGAGAAAAGATTTCGTTTTTTGTAAAAAATAAAAAATAAAATGTGTTAATTTAATTACTTCAAATATATTACTATATTAATTTACATAAAAAAGATTATATCATTTTTTATACACATATAACATGATTTAGCTGAAATTTTCAATCAGTTATGTAATTTAAATTAAAATGTGAATTGATTTATATAATATATAAATAAAAATATAAACTCAGGATGAAATAATAAATTGCTTATTGCTCCCTCAATTCCTTCTCTTAGCTAAATAAAAAATCATTAAATATCTTTCTCTTCCCTCCTCTCAATCAAACTAAACAAAATAACATTAAAGTCTCCTCTGTCCTCTCTCGCCCTACCTTCCTTTCCTTCTCCTAGCCTCTCTTCAAACCAAATACGCCATGACTGAGCAAAGGACCCTCTAGTAATATATACAAACCACTGAAGCTAGCCTCCTTCATTTTTTCTTCATTTACTCTCAGACAAAAAATCAAACATGTTGCCTTCTTCCTCTTTGCCCTTCCCTTCCCTTCTCCTTCTTCCACTTCTCTTCCTTCTCTCAGCTCTGTTCCTATCCCTGTGCCTTAGACGAACTAAGCATGGCCTGAAACAACCCCCAGGGCCACCGGCCTGGCCGGTGATCGGCAACCTCCACCAGTTGGGTACTCTCCCGCACCGATCCCTTCAGTCTCTCGCGAAGCGCTATGGACCCATCATGTCCTTGCGACTCGGACAGGTCCCTGCTGTTGTCGTCTCTTCCCCTGAAGCCGCCGAGCTTTTCCTCAGGACGCACGACGTCGTTTTTGCCAGCCGCCCAAGGACTCAAGCGTCGGAGTTCCTTTCTTATGGCTCCAAGGGGATGGTTTTCTCTGAATATGGCCCTTACTGGCGCGATATGAGGAAGCTCTGTACTCTGCAGCTTGTTAGCTCATCGAAATTGGAGACGTTTGCTCCCTTAAGAAGGGAGGAGTTGAGACAGCTGGTGAAGTCGATTGAGAAATCGGCGGCGGCGAGTGAGGTGGTGGATCTGACGGAGAAGGTGGAGCGGCTTGTAGAAGACATAATGTATAAAATGATATTTGGACGCAACAGGGACGATAGATTTGATCTGAAGGATCTTATTCATGAAGCGCTGAACTTGGTTGGAGCCTTCAATATTGCAGATTTCGTTCCTTTCTTGGCGCCATTTGATATCCAGGTACCATTATCAACTCAACTGCATATTTACTGTTCTTTTTCCTTCTAGTGTATTCAATGTTTCAACCAGCAAACCAAATCTGTCCGTTGTCTAGCTGCATCTCAGATTTTGATCCAAGAGCGGTTCAAGGTGAAGTGTTGAACACAAAAGGGTGAATGGGTATGGGAATTTAAAAGAATTGGTGTCTTTTCAAAATAATTCATTCACGGATGGATAGAGTTATGGCCGCGCATGGCCTGACCTTATAGCTCATAATATACCTCTCTCTTATGTTTTTCGTAATATTGTAACCTCCCAAATATTTTTACTATTAAATTTTATATAAAATAAGTAATACTTTAATGCGATTTTAAATTTTTTAAAAAAAATTAAACTACATCATTTTATTATTATTATTATTATAAGATATTAAATTATTACGCATTTTATGTGAAATTTAATATAAAAATAAAAATATAATATTATAATAGACTTTTAAGTTTTTTTCAAAGTGGTGGGGCCATTAATCTCTTCCTGACTCCAGGCGGAATGACACATCCCTGTATATCATTAAAATTTATTCGGCGATAGAGTTTAATTAATGAGCGGTGTCCAAAGCGCCTGCGTTTTGATTTTATACGCTCCACTTATGGGTGAGCAATGGGTGCACTGGGCTAGCCCAAAGGTTAACCCGTAGCCCGTCTATTTATGAATAAACAGGCATGGGCTAGCTCATAACTTCGGTAGCAACCCATTTTAGCCCGTAGCAAATGGGCTACAGGGCAGCCTGTTTGGGCTAACTAGGTTAAGGGTAATCCATTTATTTTTTTGTTTTTTTTTTTTGACAATTTTTCAGCATGACTACTTTTTTATATGTCATCTTATGAAGTTATTAATAAATTTTGTATACCAAACAGCAAATCAAATATGAAATAACATCACATAATACTAACCATATTCAATCACATAACTTCAGTTAGAGTCACAAAGACACAAACAATCAAAGTCTGATAAAATCATAAAAGTAGCCACCAATCATAAAAAGTCTCACAAACTTTGAAAGTTACAAACTTTGAATAAGAAAACAATATCATAAATCATCAAATTGATCATCCAGCTAGATCTTGAGTATCATCATGTTTTGTTTCAGAATCACTTGAAATTGTTGAATGTGTGGTTGCTGCCTCTTGCTCTGTAAGAACAAAACAAACAAAAATAAGTTAATGTCATTAATATTAGACTATTAGTATAAAAAACATAATGCAATGCTGCAAACTCAATGATACAGAAATTAGTCATTACCAACAACAATACTTGTACTCTCATCAAAATTATCAACATCCAAATCATTTGCCTTAGGATGATTTGTACATAGCCAATTCTGAGCACATACAAGTGCCTCAGCCATCTTTGAAGATAAAAAACTTCTAAAAGTATCAAGCACTCGACCCCCAGTACTGAAGGCAGATTCTGAAGAGACTGTAGAAACTGGTACAGCCAACAAATCATGTGCAATGAGATGAAGAACTTTATATTTGGAAGCATTTACTCTCCACCATGCCAAAAGATCAAATTTAGGATTAACAAGGCCACATAATCCAGCTTGAAGATATTCATCAATCTCAGAAACTTGCTCAGGTTTCTTACATGCAGTGCTTGCAGTGACTAAAAACTCTTGGTAGGTAGGGTCATCTTCAATAGCCTCTTCAACATTAGGAACTAACTCATTGACCACATCACCACTAGCAACAGAATCCACTTGCTGCAATGATTGCTGGGATGTTGATGCATCATCATCAGAAGGTTTGACATTAACTGCATACTCATCATATAGGCGATGCAAGACACTCATGACATGCTTCAATGTGACCTCACGCTTTATGGGATCATTGGAAAAAGCTCTATCAAAAACAACATTAACATATGTCATTTGTATTAGTATCTAGGGTCGAGGATTACCCCTATAATCAGCAATGGATTCATTTTCTCTATATCTCCCCAATACTTGTTGTACTTTAATTGCATCCTGATGGCCATATCAGTCAACAATGAATATTCACTAGTTACACTTTTATGGAGACTTGACTGGATTGCAACTATATGTAACAAGCATGTATTTGTGGTCACATAGTTAGATCCAGAGAATTTTAAGGTCATTGAGAGTAGAACAACTTCAAGAAGACGAGAAACTCCTTTGCAACACCCCAATCATATGCACTAGGAGGATGAGTTGTGGCTTCACCATCATAGATTGTATCATCTTGGCTTGAATCAAGTCTAACCTTTTTTTTAAAATACTCCTTGTAATCTGCATCTTCTTCTTCCATTCGATCAAAGACTTTAACAAATTTTATAGCACTGTCAAGCATGAGATATGTCGAATTCCACCTAATAACATAAACAAAATTTTATTAACGAAACAAAATTATATCATAAAGTGTAATGAAAACAAATATAATTAAAGAATTATCTAAATTACCTAGTGGGGCAATCCAAGCATAGTAGACTTTTGGAGTCAATTCTCTCTTTAACAATAAGCTCCTTGAATTTATTCAACCTTGATGGAGAAGATCTAACAAACTTAATTGCATGCCGGATGAGCTCAATTGACTTATTCATATCTTTTAATCCTTCAGAAACAATCAGGTTCAAAATATGTGCTGCACATCACATATGCATAAATTCACCATCAAGTATGAGACCATTCCAACCCCTTAAACGCTTTCTCAAATAAGCAAGTGCTGTATCATTGGAAGAAGCATTGTCAACAGTGACAGTTAGAACTTTATCAATGCCCCAATTCAATAAGCATGTCTCAAGTTTTGCACCAATTGGATCTCCCTTATGGTTTTCAATCACACAAAATTCAAAATCTGTTTCTGTAAATTCCAATCATCATCAATCCAATGGGCAATCAAACACATGTAGTTGGTATTTTGGATTGAAGTCCAACAATCTGTGGTGAGGGACACACGGACTTTAGATCGCTTAAAATATTTTTTCAACTTTCTAGCTTCTTCAAGATACACCTGGTAGCAATCCCTGGCAACAATCCATCGTGAGGGGATTTTGAATCTTGGTTCAAATCGATGTATCATGTCTTTGAAACCCTGTCCCTCAACATTTGAAAAGGCATCTCATCCTTTATGACAAAATGTGCAATAGCCTTTCTACATTCCTCTTCATCATATACTTGATGAGTCAATGATTTACTAGAATTAACTGAGAAGATTGACTGTTGCTTGCTTGCTTTATTTGGATTTTTTGGACACTTTTCATAATGCCGCAACAATTGCTTTGTCCCACAATTAGTTGGATGGCTTGCATAATCCGTCCCACAATAGTTGCAACGTGCACGATGTTTACCTTTTGTTTCACTTAGTGGCAACCTTGTGAAATGTTTCCATGCTTCAGATGTTTGTCTCCTTTTTTTCCTAGGTAATGGAAGTCCTCCTCCTCCTCCAACATTAGTTGTTGACATTGTTGCATTCTGTTGTCCTTGTCCAGTAGCAACAGGAGATGTGATAGTGGTAGTGGTAGTGGTTTTAACATCATTAGTGTCCCCTCATTCATTTGCACATCATCCATGCTATTTACTTTGAGTTGCTCATTTCTTCCATATTCCAAATCAATCACAATGACAATGAGAAATAACCAAGAAAACTATAATCACGTTTATGTAAGAAAAAAAAGATAAAGCTAGTTTTTCAAACATATTAGCGCATCATACCAAGCCATTGAGCAAACAGGGAACTATAGTTATGTATAAGTAAGTCATAAATAGAATAATAGATCCCAACATTCAAACATATTAACGCTGCATCTACTAAGAGTTGAAATTGTCCAATGTGTTTGCGATCGTCTGTGATGCGTATCATTATGTTGTACAATAAACAAAATCAAGGGGAAAAGAGGGGAGGGAAATTAGATTGAATTTTACGAAGGAGATAAGTTGCTGGTAAATGATGATAGAAGCTTCTCTTAGAAAAAAATCCTCGCCCTTCTGCTGATCATGAAGGCAAATTAGCATTTTGCTCGTCTTTGTTCTGTTTTAAGCTGATGTTTTATTCCAATTATTTTAATTTGTCTCGTTAAACTTTTCTCTTGTTAGATAACTCCCTCAAAATTTTAATTTGCCATGTAGCATTGTGATTAGGCTAATAGACATATGTTTTAAACAAAAGCATCTTTATATGGATGACTAATCAACATTCAGCGAAATAGTGACTAGCGAGCTACCAGAAGTCCAAAATGGAGGAACAGAACACAGAGAGCAACGAAATGGAGGAACACTGGAACAGGAGAAGTCAAAAACAAAAATTTACCGAACAGTGAGCTACCAGGCACCAGCGATAGTGACCTTTGCTTCAATCTTCAACAGATCGAGGGACGCCGCTACCAGTCCACCACGAGAAGCTGCCGAGAAGTTGAAGTCGAACTCGAAGATGGCAAGACGCAGTACAAACAATCACTGGAGCTCTAATGTCGAAGATGAAGATGCAGCAACCCAGCATCACAAGCTCGCAGATGATTACTAATTCACTGGAGCTCTAATGTCGCAGATGAAGATGCAAAGTCACGGCCTCACTCCCTCACAGACGAATCAATTACAGTTCACAAACCGTTGGAGCTAGAAGCAAACTGGGCAGCTGGCTTGAAGTCGAATCGCAGAGACGCTCAAACGCAAGCACAGATCGAAGGTGGCGGAGACGTAGAGTGACACTGAGAGAGTTGTTCAATGTTCACTGTTCAGTACTTCAGTTGAAAGAGTGGAAGTGCCAAACTGGAAACTGGAATGGAAAGAAGCAAATAATGAAAGCTTGAATGAAAGGCAGCTACTGAAGCTAGGTCTAAACTCTAAAGAATAAAAAATATTTTTTAAAGAAAATAAAACTTAAATGGGTGGGTATGGGCAGCCCAAAGCCTTGCCCATAGCCCGTCCCGTTTAATGGGCTGTCCCGCCCATTTAAGTCAGCCCGTTTATTATCTTCTATTTGGGCTAATTGGGCGGGCTTTAATGGGCAAAAAATTATTGGGTTATGGGCAGGCTAGTGGGTTATGGGCTATTTGCTCACCCCTAGCTCCACTCCAATCTGCCCCTCTTCAATGGACCCCTACAAAATCTATTCTTCTTTCTCATATAAGTCATCACCTTATTGGCA